TTTTTACAACTATTTGGTCACTTATTTCTTCAACATGGTCACTAAAATCACTATTTTTGACAGCATTTATCGCTACCAGCCCTGGGATTTCTAATGATAATTTCAAAGAATTTCGGAGGAGCATTTTTAGTTTTAAAAAATTGGAGAAGAATTTCAATGGAATATAATTAGTGAAACATGTATTAGCAAAGGAATTTTAAGAAGTATTCCGAGGTAATTATTAGGGAATTTCAACGAAAACTCAAATGTTATTATGATGAAACTAGCTAGGGAATTTAGAGGTTAGTCTAAGGGGAATCGGGTTGTCACTATTTTTTGAAAATCCTCGAACAGTTTTTTTTCGGTTAAAATCAAAATTCTGTCAATTAAAATGTGTTCACTGTGTTCCGGTAGGCAAGTAGAATGCAATGAACACGTGTTCATGAACGTAATTCTGGTTTTGAATTTTTGAACATTAATGACGTCCTCTTTCACTATATGATAATTCTAAATATTTTATGTCAAAAGAAGCGTATCTCTTCGCAATGTTGAAGAAGGGAACACCAATAAAAATAAACCATCATTTTGTCATTTCAACGGGGCTCTACGGATGCCAACATTTAGCCAGAACATCGTACAATGTGATAAGTCTGCAGAACATCAAGATCTGAACTCCAGGGTGATTTGGGAAATCTTAGATATTTTGTTATCACAAATATATATCTTCCCTAATGTAATGAGCCCATACAAAGCTCTCTGGAGTCGTACATATTGTCGGAACATCGAGAAAAACTTTATTGAACATGTTCAACTTCAAGATCAATTCTTAAGTATGGGTTTAAGATCTTATTGTGCCACGTATTTGCTGTTCTTGATTTCATACGGTGTATTGAGATTTACGAGGATGTTTGAAAACATATCTTTGCAGAACATCTCTGTTGAGGCTCTGTTGATCTCTTAAAGTTAAAGGTCTAATTTTCAAAAAAAAAAATCCAGGATTTTATGAGAACATTCTCAAGTATTTAGTAAGAATCATTTCCCTTCCCAGATAATATTTTTTTAGAATTCTTCTAAAATAAGTTTGAGATTCTATCTGGGAGTCCCTATAACAGTCTTGAGATTCTCTGCCGATCAATACAAAAAATCATGAAATTCATTCTCAGATTTCCTTTGATAATTCTATTTAAAATTCGCTTGAATTCTCCTCAAATTGTCTTGAAATTTTATGCAGCATGGTATTGGAGTTATCGTCTTCACAATCGACTCGAAATTTTCCACAGCTACTCTGCTCTGAACTCAAACTAGTGACTTGGAGTCAAAATCAAAAATCTCTCAGAGTTCTTTCCAAAACTCCCTTTAATTTTCTCCGAAATACCTTAGTGTAATCCCTCCCATTTATTCTTCATTCCCCAAAGTCAGGGGCTGAAAGTCTTCTCAATAAAGATATAAAAAAATATATACCTAGTATAGTCCAAGAATCTTAAAATTTTTCAATGGTCCAAAATCGTCTAGGGGAAATGGCTCTAATATTGGCCTATGGATCTATAATTAGGCCCATCGCTAAAAATTATCAATTTTATCTCTAGATAAACGCGTCATTGGGACAGTACTCATCGATATTTTTGGTCGGTATTGAAAATTTAGTCGATTGCTGAATTTATGTATGGGCCCAAATTAGGGGCATTTAGGCCGACATTACATCAATTTCCCCTGTATACACGATAAACTGCATATTTTGTTGCAAAATAATTAAAAATACGCCTGAATGTGGGCAATAAGAATCAGTTTCAGGGCTGTTCTGACAGACGCGGATTTTGCGATTTTCGCGGATTTGTCCCGGATTCGAACTTTCAGTCGTGAAAATCGCGAAGGGACTGCTGTCACAAAAATTAAAGAATTCATTGTAATGCACTGAAAGCGAATCTTACTCAGAGAGTGAGTCATATTTACTCATTCTCATGGAGAAATTTATAAAAGCATAGGTTTGCTCATGTTGGTTGAGTGACCTACGCTTTTGAAAATTTCTCCATACGAATGAGTAAAAGTGACTCACAAGTGAGTAAAAGTGATGCAGTCTCTAAGTTAGTTTCGTGTATTATGATGTACAGAGCGTTGATGCCAACATTCCAGATTCTTTCAGTTTATTAAGCATCCAGCAAAATAGTTTGAAGTCCGATCAGCAGAGAATGGTTAAGGTGCTTACACTTCAAACTTTTATATAGGAATTAAAATCTGGAAATGCAGTATTTAATGGAAATGCAATATTACAATTGAAATCTGCAAAATCCCGCTTCACGGCAACGGGACAGGCGTGCTGGGTCACTTCATCGACACGCTTTTTGCAGGTTTGGTATTATGACAGTTAACACGACTTTATGCCAAAGTTAACCTAAAACTGATGCTGAGAAATTTTAACAAATCAGTAAGTTTCAAAACAATGGATCGATCTCAAATCTTGATGTTGTATCTCTGTTACTTATATATCAATATCTTTTGAAATTATCGGGGTTTCTCATGGATTCGTCATTTTCTCTTGTGAATTTATTAAATTAAATTGGAGTTACATTTTAGCTGTTTCTTATGCATTTTGCTAAATAAAATTTCCTGAGTTTTTGAGAACTTTTTGGATAATTTCTATGTTTATAAAAAAGCTGTTTATAATTCCTGAGAACTTTAAGATTTGGGCGTAATTGCTTTTGTAACCAAACACGTCCATCGCTGATTTCTCGCGAATAAAAGCACAACCTCACAAACAAACTATACCAAATGATAAAGAAATCATTCCTCTACCTGTTTGTTTGTGTCATTGAGCTTTAATTCGCGAGAAATCGGCAAATTACGTGTTTGTTTACAAAACCAATTACGCCCTAATTTCGAAGTTCTCTGGAATTGCGTAAAAAAAATCTGAATTTGAAAACAACAACATTGCTGCCACAAACGATTTTAAGACATGACAGAGACCAGTTTAACAATTAAAACCATTAAATCATATAATCTCATAAAATATCATAGCCTAAAAGTTTTGAACTCCAAGTCCAAGATCTATAAACTTTTCAAAGTGTCAAAATACTAGAATTAGAAGAATGAAGTCTCAGCCATTTGATTAATTTCAAGTTCGCAGCCTTAAACTTCAAAGTTCAGCATTTCAAATATTGTTGTTACTTTTGGAACCTCTCACGTTCCCTAAACTTATACTGATCCTGGTCATATTGAAGTTCTCGTCTTTGGCAAAGTTGTTCATTTCAATGAAGCCTTTCTAATGACGGGTATTGTCGTTCAAAATTTTCCCACTAGGAAGTGCTAGTGTCCAAAATATAGTTTCGACTCGTTTCTACTAATCCTGACCTCATGGAATGCACTCGTCTTTAGCAACATGTTTTGCAAAGTTCATAAATGTATCACTAGGTGGCGCTAGTAAACAACATATTATTTGGTCTCATTCGTAATAGTCCTGACCACATTGAAAGTCTTAGGCATAGTTGCTCATTCCAGTGAGGCCTTCACATGGAGATGAAAAACTACCCAAAATTAAGTACTTTTCCCTCAATGCCCGGGTTCAGCCCAATAACCCAAATTTGAGTAAATCCGAAGATAACATATCAAGAAGACTGGCAACTCTTCCGCTATCAGAACGACACAATTGTGTCATCTGCTGCTCAAAGGTAAATGCTTCGAACGAATTTGATAGCAAATATTACAACCTCAGAAGAAAGGTTTGTGTATTTGCTCATTTATCTATGCGTTACTTCCACCTTTGCTCGAGTGGAGCGCTGCTATATTTGTCACTTGGATACTAACAGAGTTGCCAGTCTTCTTGATTCGATGTCTTCTGTAAATCGCATATAGTAGTTTCTATTTAACACCAGCAAAAAAAAAACTTACTCTTAAGTATATTCTACCCAAAAATAGGTTTAGTAGGTGAATTTGAGAATATGCAATTTACTCAAAAGTAACTTATTGGGCTGAACAATATCGTTGGGTCGAATCTCTCGTTCCTTTTTTTTGACAACAATAATGAGTGCAAGTGAGAGGTTCAACTCAAAATTAAGTAAAATGAACTCAAATTTTGGGTAGTATTTTTTCTCCGTGCGGGATGGCGGGTAATTTAGTTGAACAACATCATATCCGGACTTGTTCGCCCATTTTCGTGCTTAAGTGGGTATTACTCACTTGGTTGTTCAGAAAAATGTAACCGAAAAGTAAATTATATTATGGAGTCAAATTTACACGATCCCTTTGCAATCCTCTGCTGTCGTGGTAATCCGGAATGATGAAGTGGAATGATGGAAATTTTTGCCCGAGGGAAGTTAATTTATTCATTATTGCTTCATTTCCTCTCTCTCTAGTTACATGTAAGCGGCATGTTTTGTTGGGCAGTTGGCAACTCCTTTTTCCCTCGAGTCGTGTATGAGGGGGCTAAGGTCAAATGTACCACACTTCCTGCTCTTTGCAGTCGATACCCCTTCCCCATAAGCAACTATTATGGATGTGCAAATTTGGATCCTTGTTGATGATGGTTCACCATTATTGTTTCATTAGTATGCAGATCAATATATGAGAAATACTCAGTTTTTCCAGAAGGGTTGGCGCCATTATTGGAATGGGGAGGAATGGTTGGATATAGCCGTTACAACCAAGTGGAAAGCTCTTCAAGAAGCACTATAATTTTAGTCAGTCGCTCTTCTTTCTTATGGATGTCCTTAAAGTCCTTGTTCACATACAAGTAAACAGCTTTCCCGAACAAATCTTCAAAGAACGAGACGACCATTCCAAATGGAAAACAACCGTAATCCGATGCACTTCGTGCTTCTTCTTCTGCAGCAGCAGCGGCAGCGCTATCGTTACCACATAATCATTTGATGTTTAACAACTTGGCGCAAGATGTGTCGTGCTCCCACTTGCTTTGAAGTGGTGCTGCTGCTGCTGCAGCAGACGGGACCGGTCGTTTCCCCAAAGGGAATTACCGCAGACATTTTTTTTCTAATTTCATTTCTTTTTCCCTTCTCCCCCTTTCCCTACAGATACCGCTGGATCAAGAACGGCAGAAAGTTCGAATGGCAAACGTACGACGACCGTATGTCGCAGCAGCCGGGTCGCGGTACCCTGGTCATCAAGTCGCCCCGAGACGAGGATCTCGGCCAGTATCAGTGCTTTGCCGAAAACGAACACGGAACGGCCACATCGAACTCGGTCTTCGTGCGAAAGGCCGAGCTGAACTCGTTCAAGGACGAATCTGCCAAAACGGTCGAGGTGGACGAAGGATCACCATTTAAGATGCAGTGTCAACCGCCGGACGGTTGGCCCCGACCGAACGTTTACTGGTTGATTCAGAACATGGATGGCGGTATCAGTTCGATCAACAACTCCCGGATGACGCTGGATCCCGAAGGTAATCTGTGGTTCTCGAACGTGACGCGGTACGATCAATCGGATGATTTCTACTATGCTTGCGCGGCTTCGTCGTTGTTCCGGAACGAGTACAAGATCGGTAACCGGGTGTTGCTGCAGGTTAAGCAGACGGGAATTTCGGCTGCTCAAAACAAGCACCGACCGGAGCGGCAGTACGTGTCCAGGAAGAACGAGGTCGCACTGAGAGGGAAGAAGATTGAGATGTTTTGTATCTACGGAGGAACACCGCTGCCACAGGTGGTTTGGACCAAGGACGGTCGACCGATACAGTGGAACGATAAGATACAGCAGAATAATTACGGTAAATCATTGGTGATCAGACATGCGTCGTTCGAGGATCAGGGAACGTACACTTGCGAATCGTCTAACGGAGTGGGTAGTGCGGAATCGTACTCGATCCGACTGGAAGTGCAAGCCGTGCCGTACTTTACCCTGGAACCGGAGATTGTCAATGCAGCCGAGGATGAGACGGCAGAATTCCGATGCGAAGCTACCGGTGTCCCGAGGCCAAGCATTATCTGGGTCCACAACGGCAAACCGATCGATCAATCGAGGAGCAATCCGAGACGTATTGTTAGTTCGAACAAGATCTACTTCACCAAACTGGAAAAGGGTGATACTGGTAACTACGGTTGTAACGCCACCAATGCCCTGGGCTATGTCTACAAGGACGTGTACCTTAATGTGCTGGCTTTGGCGCCGGAGATCACTGAGCCCCCAAAACTGGAATACACCGTCGATCGACGCAACGTCACGCTGACCTGCCGAGTGTTCGGTGCTCCCAAGCCGGAGGTCAAATGGATCCGCAACGGACGGGAGCTGACCGGAGGTAAATTCAAGGTTCAAGATAATGGCGATTTGTTCATTCGCGGAGTCGAATTTTCCGATGCCGGTGAGTACATTTGTTCTGCCATTAATAAGCTGGGCGAAAAGTCAGCTCAAGGTGAACTGGTAGTCAAGGAGCACACCAAGATCATCGATGAACCGCAGGATTATGAAGTCGTTGCCGGTACTCCGGCTACCTTCCGTTGTAACGCGGTGGCAGATAGTTCTCTAGAACTAAACATCGAATGGTTGACCAACGGGGAAACGATCGATTTCGAAAGTCAGCCGCGATTCGTCATGACCAACGATTACTCGCTGACCATTTCGAAGACCATCGAACTGGATACGGGCATCTACACTTGCTTCGCCCGTACCGATCTGGACGAAGTGATGGCCAATGCTACTCTAACGGTGTACGACCGTCCAAACGCTCCATCGCTTGAAGGAATCGAATGCCAACAAACCGTAGCTACCCTTTCCTGGAAGCCCAACGGTGATAACCGTTCTCCAATTCTGCATTACACCATCGAATTCAATACCTCATTCACCCCGGATACTTGGGAAATCTCGTCCAAAGACGTTCCGGCCACGGATTTCACCTACAGCGTCGACATGAGCCCATGGTCCAACTACACATTCCGAGTCATTGCCATCAACAAGGTCGGTCCGTCGCTTCCGTCGGGACACAGCGATGTTTGCACCACACAGCCGAGCGTTCCCTTCAAAAATCCGGACAATGTGGAAGGTCAGGGAACCGAACCGAACAACCTAGTCATCCGGTGGACTCCAATGTCCGAAATCGAACACAACGCTCCTCGATTCCAGTATCGAGTTTACTGGCAGCTGGACACCGGAGTGGATCACTGGAACACCGAGGACATTTTCGACTGGCGACAATTGGAATTGGTCGTCCGGGATCAGGAAACTTTCCGCCGGTACCGTATCAAGGTGGTCGCCATCAACGAACTCGGCGAAGCCAATGTTGCTCCCAAGGAAGTTATCGGGTACTCCGGGGAGGACAAACCTCTGGAAGCTCCTACCAACTTCACACTGATTCAAGTCACTGCTCCTACTTCGGCGATCCTCAGCTGGAACCCGGTGACGGAGGAAAGCATCCGTGGTCACTTCAAGGGTTACAAAATTCAAACTTGGACTGACGCCGACGGAGAAGAGAACCTGCGGGAAATTCTCGTAACGGCCGACTCGAAGCAAGCTCTAGTCACGGATTTCGTTCCGGATTCGACCAACTACGCCCGAATTCTCGCCTACAACGGACGATTCAATGGACCTCCTAGCACTACCCTGTCGTTCGATACTCCGGAGGGTGTTCCGAACACGATCCAAACCCTGGATGCCATCCCACTGGGTTCGTCCGCTTTTCTGCTTAAATGGAAGAAACCACTGCAGCCGAATGGCAAGCTGACCGGATACAAGATCTATTACGAAGAAGTGAAGGGCACTTCATTCGGACCTAGGATGGAACGAGAACCGCACATCCACGATAACCGCGTCACGGAAGCCAAACTAGGCAAGCTGAAGCCCAATACCAAGTATCGAGTGCACGTCGTCGGTACAACGAAAGCCGGAGAGGGACAAGAGTAAGTTTCGGCTTGATTTAAGGTCAGAATGGGGTTTTTAATAATAGCATTTCTTTTCCCACAGCTATTACATCGAACAGAAGACTGGAAGCGGTGCTGCGGTTGTACCGGATCAGCCGTACTTTGCGTGGGAACGGCAACCGAACGGTAATGGCCAAGCGGACGTCAAGGTCACCTGGCAACCGAATCTAGAAGGTAAACCGGGATCGCACTTCTTCGTAAAGTATCGCGTCAAGGGCGACAACCAGTGGCTGATGACGGAGCCGGTCCTGTACGAGAACCACCACTCCGTGCACGGGCTAGAACCGGACGCCAGATACGAATTCCAGGTTGTTTCCGTCGACGGCGAATACCAGACAGAGTCTATGACGCAGGATGTTGATACCTCTGGTATTGGTAAGTGACGAATTGTAGGGGCCATTGAAAGTAACTAATCGATTCTGTGATCCGTAGAAGGCCCCATTATCGTCCCGAGCAACAACGTGGCCACGGCCGGATGGTTCATCGGAATGATGCTGGCCATTGCGTTCCTGATACTGCTGTTGATCATTATCTGCATCATCAAGCGGAATCGGGGCGGCAAGTACGATGTGCACGATCGGGAATTGGCGAACGGGCGCAACGATTACACCGAAGAGGGTGGTTTCCCCGAGTACTCCCAACCGTAAGTATTCGTAAGGATGCATGCATTTTAAGCAACTCTCTGCCTGACTTCAATTGCCCCTGCCTCCTTGCCCCCCTCACTACTACGCTCAGTCCAGTACACTGTGCCTGATCAGGACAAGACATATGGTGTAGCTGTCTGTTTCGTGTTAAGCACGACGTGCCTTGGGTTTTCTTACTAACCCCGGTGTGTTCACTAATCATCTCCAAATGGTCGTCGTTGTGGTTGTGGTGGCAAATGGGATCTACCTCGGCTTGGCATAAGATATTGGAGCTTCTCTCAAGCATCATTGCACGTTTTAACAAGGTTTTGAAGCACTCTTTCAGGTGGTTGCAGACTTCCACAGAAAACAATTGTTGGTGACTTTGAATGGTAGTGAGACTTCTTAAAATATCAGCGATTTCTAGATAATCATTTACCAAAATCTGAGAACTTCTAAAAATTGAGAGGGTCTTGGAGATTTGGAATTTGTGATCTATGGAGGAAAATCGGGATAGTAGTTCCTCCAAACGATCCGTTGTTGCCATGTTGCAGTAAAAAGGGTTGCCTTCGGTATATCCGTCACTGACGACCCAGCCGAAGACTGAATCGTGTAACGCTGGAAGTCGCTCTCCAAGCGAGATTTTCCTACCCGAAGTAGTCGAAGAATGCTTCTTTCCAGGACGAGATCCACCACTTAGGCTATACAGAACGATTGATCAGCAAGCTCGATTCCTTCTGGAAGGGTACAACCAGATGTGTTGATGTAGTCGGTAGGTTCACCGTAACCTTCGTCAGAACTAGGAAGTTCATTTGGTGTGAATATCCGTTTGAATGAGCCACACTGGAACAGTGGATAATTTCCAAAGCAGGGTAAATAGCGCCATGTGGACGCTTGGACAGTGTTGAAGCGGTTGTACAATCTAGTTCAACGTTTGAGGAGGTATTGGATTTGGCGTTTCTTCAGTTGCTTGCTGTTGTTGTACCGTTTCAGCAGCATAGCCCATGCAACTTGGTAATTAACAGCAGTTATCTTCAACGAATCGATCAACGTCTTAATCTGCGGAAGACGAATGTGATCAAATGTAGATGTTACTGATGGTTCACCATCACCAATGGATTCGTTCAACGATGCAGGATCCTGCCTCTCCCTAGCCTGATCCTTCAATATGGATTTAACTTGATAGTAACCGTCGCTAAACTCCGGTCTTTGCACCTCAAATTCGTCGTTTTCATCGTCGACGTCATCTTGCGATTTAAGCTCGACGAGAATCGAATCGTAGCTGGAGTAGTGAGTAGCAGTCGTTGTTTCCTGGATTTTCTCCGTGAAACGCCAGATGTCGTTGAAGGTCAGCTTAATTTCCTTAAACTTGGTAATGAGGAGTTTCAGAATTGACTTCCTGGTGCATGGCTTCTTGGTAGGCATGATGTTAGCTCGGAACGAGAAGAGAAGTGTCGTTGTTGCCCCTTGCTTCGATGGACACACACTATTCTATGTTAACTGACCTTTGCAACAAACAATTCCTTCTAAATTGAACCAAAGTTAGCAATCCGATTGACCAAAGCTTCAGTCGCGACACATAGGTACGTTGATGGTCAATGCTCATTAGCGAAGAAGGATCAAACCAAGAGGAGAGGAAACCAGCATGTACCTAGTATTCAAAATTGATCCAGGCTCGACTGGACATGCACTGAGGCAGCTCAGCTACAGAAACCAACAGCTCCACAAGTGTCCAATCGGTCGAATACTTCTACACATCAATCAATCATCACCTTTGAATGATGTCACCAGATGTCGAAACTCCGTTCGAATACCAACGAGAATTGGGAGAAGAGGAGGAAGAACCAATGTAGTACCATTAAAATCCGACTTCGGCCGGGCATATGCTGCGGTCAACTCACCGAGAGAAACCAGCAGCGGTGCGAAACCCAGCAATGAAATTCAAATTCAAAATAAGTTCATTCGCAGTTCGCCGCAGCGAAGAAATCAGGGATGCGTCCGCAAATAATCGAAGAGGATACAAATTTCCATTAGAATGTGTAAATGTGGCAGACATATACAGAGTTCTATATAGACTCACCCGGACAATAAGATGATGGTGCTCCCTCTTCGTTGCGGAAATCCCGTCGAATGCCTTCTTCGGATGAACAAGATGGTCACAACCACGGCCGATGGGCGTCGTCACTGATGGCTGGCGGCGCAATGGTGCGTATGTGATCTAATTAATCCTCACTCATAGCCAGGGACCCTAGCTCGTAGTGACACCGTAGATCACCGCAATCGTCTTGGAATGGAGTGCTGTCGTAGGTCTTGGAGTGTGGTAGTCGTCCTCAGGAAGTTGGTCGTCCTCCTCACCAATGATCGGTCATCGATGAAGCAATGGGTTGGTCGTAGAGAGGTGTGAGAATCATGAAACCTAACTTCGGTAGGACATACAGTAAACGTTAATTTAACTGGAGTCAGTTTCAAACTTGTCACCTATCCAGCAGACTACGTTGAATCCGATGACGAAAGGTTTCCGCTGTGCAGTTGAAGTCGAAAAACCCATAGAATTCATTGAAACGTGCAGACATGAACCGTATTGGATCATGTAATCCGTAATTAGCTGGTCGGGGTCCGAGATTCAGGAAACTCCTCGATCGTAGAACTCGTTCGGGTGCATAGATTTCGAATCCAGCCAAAATCCCGGGAGAGTCGATTTCGCTTTTCAGCGCTGCCTGGTTAATCTTCTGCCTACGGTCAAGAGTTTCAATACCCAGGATTTGGCAACGATCTTGGTAGGGTGGAAGGTTCGTTGGTTCATTCCAAGGAAGGTTGCGGAGAGCGTAACGATCGAATTTCCTCTGAACAGACTCGATCCTCGCTATCCAAACTGTTTCATACGGACATAATACTTCTACACTACTAATGTAGCTTAAATGTCACAGCAGAATCAAGCGTAATTCCTAGATCACGAACATTGTCCACACGCTCCAGAGGTTGGTTATCGATCGTATAATTGAATGCAAAAGGTTTTAGCCTGCGATGGAAAGTGATGATTTTTGAACACTCAACGTGAGAAAATTCCTAGAGCACCACTCTTCGAAACTATCGATCAGGTGCTGCAACCGCAAGCAACCAATGAAGCATCGCACAACTACGTACATCTTGAAATCGTCTGCTTAGAATTACCGGCAGCCAGTTGGAAGTAGCCAATCGATTTAGTTAATGAATATCGAAAATAGCAGCGGTCCCAAATTGCTGCCTTGAGGAACACCGGAGTTTTTTGAAGAATATTCCGATTGGTCAGAGCCGATTGGTAAGATACGATTCAAACCAACGAGTGAGTCCTTGAGAGACACCGAGCTTCTCGAGTTTGTCAAGTAGAATGGCATGATCAACCCGGTCGAAAGCAGCCTTGAGATCCGTGTATACGACGTCCAGCTGTGCTCCTGCCTCCATATTCGCTGGTTTGTTGGTTTGTTGCGACCGAACGTTTGGGGTGGAAACCATGTTGGTCAGGAGAAATGTAGTTTCTACAGCTGGCAAATAAACCGTCGTTGATGATTGATTATCTCGAATACCTTTTTGAGCAGACACAAAGTGAAGTAATTCCTCGGTAATTCTCCGCATTTCGCTTGTCTCCTTTCTTGAAAATCGGGAACTTGAACGAAGATCTCCAACGAGAAGGAAATACACCTAGTTGTAATGAAATATTGAACAGCTTTGAAGGCGGAGAAGAAAGCTCTGTTGAGCATGTTTTGAGTATGGACGATGGAATGTCGACGAGAACCAATGTGAGCGTTAAATTATCAAAGCTGAACGCATCACTGGGAGTATCTCTGCACCCTTCAGCAACTTGGCTTAACCGTCGCCGTTGAGTCGTTGAAAACACTTTTGAAATGCTCTGCTATTTCCATAAAGAAATGTCTTCACAAACGTCCAGAATAACTTAGGATTACGCCGGAGATCGGTCTGCATACGTCTTGAGTACTTCTTGTACAGGAAACGGTTGTACATTCGATAGACAGTACTTGCTAATGAAAACTATAGCTTGGTGAATGGATTACGGGACTGGCTGTATTTGCGAAGAGCGTTCGATCTCACACACTTCAAGTGTTGTCATCGAGCATTAGACTATGCAGGTTTTGAAGCAGGTCTCTTCAGAGGCGCACAATCCATTATTAATGGGCTCACAACTTCGTCGAAGTAGTCACCAATGGACGAACACAAGTCAAGCGACTGCCAATCTACCTGGGCAAGTGAGTGATTCAATGCAACGAAGTCAGCTCTACGAAAGTCCAGGTTTTGTACATCAACGATGTCTTTATAGATAACAACGCTGTATGATCGGCGTCTAGATGTATCAGAGGCTCGGATGCCTCGGCGACACTGCACTCTAGTACGGCGGCTTCGTTCACCAGCACAAGATCAAGCAGCCGAGAGATGGTACAGAAACCAATAAACCATGCAGGGTGGAACCATCCAAAAGAGCACAGCAGGAAGCAGCCATGTACGACCGAAGAATGTCAATGGTTGGATGATCATTCACGGATATATTCCAAACAAGCCCAGACTGGTTGTAGTCGCCAAATAGCAGAGCTAGATCGTTGATCGGGACAATAAAGCACCAATGGAACTGGTATGGTTCTCACCGCAGCTCAAATTAGATTTACGGTCAGGAGGAAGGTACATAACGCCGATGCATAACTGCTCAAGAGAAGTACTGACCGGAGCAGGATCGAGGCAGCAGTTCAGTCACTTGGAAACCGCAATCAAGATGGCACCACCACGTGATTTGGCACTGTTCATCCGGTTACGGTCATTGCGAAAAATTGAGAACATACGGCCAAATAATTGTGCTGAGTGAATTCGATCATCTAGCCAGGTCTCGTGTAAGAACTATTGCATCGTAGTTGGACTCAACAGCAGTGAAGAATAAGTCGTCAATCATAGTTCGCAGGTCGCGATCATTTTGATAATACACCACAAGTCCATCGGATAACATAGGTTGGCAATCGGAAAGGCAAGGTTCAGTCGG